CTACAATTTGCTTCTATTCTAAACTCACATGTGTAAAGTAGACTAAAAGTGCAATTAAAAGATAGTGGGGTACAGTTTAAAAAAATACTGTTAAAAAAGAGTCTAAAAAAGGTAGGGTTTTATGTGACAGGCAAGAAATTAAAGACTGGGGATGTAGCTCAGTGGTAGAGCACTTGCAGAGCAAGCACAAGGCCCTAAGTTCCATTCTCAGCAAAGAGAGAGAGAGAGCGCACGAGAGCAAGAGTGAAACAGAGACAGAGAGAAGAAAGAAAGGAAGGCAGGCAGGTAGACCAACCACATGGTCATAATACTAATTGAACCTGGGTTACAAAAGTTCTAATTTGTTGATTAGAACTTTGTTATACAATTGGAGTTGCACAATTTTTACCACTAAAACCTAAGAGTTTTAATGTATATTCACTGAAAAGTCACTTAATAGAAAACAAGATTCAATGATTTTCTCATGTTTCCACTGACAGAAATGATTTGAAATCAACAGGCATTATAAATTCCTCTTTTCTTACCTAAGTTTAACTAGTAGGCCTTGAAAACTCAATGAATTTTATCTGCAAATCAATAACTAGCATTTTTATTCTAGAATGAAACTGCAATAGAGTCCTCAATGTCATCCAAAGAAGGAAATTTCCCCTTCTCAAAGTTTGATATTTTAATCTAGAAAATTAACTGAAAATAGATTTAACAAGAGAAAAAGCTTACAAATTTATGATGTGGAAGCACATAGGTGCCCTGCAATATATGAGATTAGAAAAGGGGGCAGGTTGATGGTGCAGCCAATAGTAGAGCACTTATCTAGCTTTGCACAAGGCCCTAGGTTCCATGTCCAGCACCACAGAAAGCGGGTAGGGGCGATTAAATAGCACTCTGAGCTACCAAAAAGACAAAGACTCAGAAATCTGGGGCGGTGGGGGTTGGAGGGAGAGGTACCATACTCGTTGCAGATAAATTCTGTCAGGTACAAGCCTCAGAAAAATATGTGACATCCTGTGGCAATCTGCAGAAAGAATGGGGTACCTAGTAATCTTTGTTAGATCAGACAAGGGAAATAAGGTGACCTCAGAGCATGTAGCTGTTTATATCACTAATACAGATCTTTATATGCAGATTGAACTGTCCTCCACAAAAGGAGAGCTTTTCAGAGCTACTCATGTATCCCCCTACCACTCTGAACAGTCATCTGGAAATATGCCAAAGAGACACATTTTAGGGTGGCATATTTGATTTCCCATACAACATGTAGAAAAAATGGAAATACTATGTCTAATTTGATCTACAGACCTAATTAAGACCCAACGTAAGTAGGAGAGCATCATGAGATGCTCAAAACATGAGAGCATCATTTGTGCTAAGTGCCCTAAAGGCAGACAATTATTTGAGGATGAATTTATCTAGGAATTTGGGAGGAGTAGTATTGGGGTTTGAGCTTGGGACGGCTGCACTGAGCTTCATTCCCCAGCCTGTTCTACATTTTCTTTTGAGATAGGGTCTTGCTAAATTATGCAGGCAGGCCTCAAACCTGTGAGCCTCCTGCCTCAGCCTCCCAGAGTGCTAGAATTTCAGGTGTGCACCACTATGCCCATAGTAGTACATAAAAACATCTTTTGTATGCTGAAAGTGACAGTTTTAACAGAAAGGAAATAAATCACCATCAAGGACTTACTTCTATCTAATGAACCATAATAATTTCTAATACTTGTTGCACTCTTACCATGTGCTAGGCACAGTTACTCTTCACCATTATACCAGGAGGAGGTACTTTCAATAACCACACCACAGATGAGGAAGCCTAGAGACACACTGGTTAAATCACTTGCCTGAGACTCATGTTAAGTGCCTGAAATATAAAAACTCTTTTTCTAATACAATTATGATAGAGATTATGGTTCATAATTATCATGTAAGTCCACTACTGCTCTCTTCAAAAGATGCTCATGGCCATTTTAACATAACCAAATCCCCACACTAGAAGTAATTTTCGTGTAATTCATTATTGTAAGTAAGCCCTTTGAGTTATGAAAATCTTCAAAGCAAATTCTCTTGGCATAAAAATTATAAAATGCTAGCCTAATCTTATCTAATATCTTAATTTACATGATAGTTTGTCTCCAATGAGAAAGCTATCAGCATTTCCACTAATATAGCATTTTGTTTTAAACTTTTATATAAATGCTGATAGTTTTATATCATTTTACATATAAAAGTACTCAACCTTCTCCCCATCCTTACAAAGAAACAATATCACAAATAATCCAAAAACCATTTATAGTTGGCACTAGCATGTATGGTTTAGAAATAAACAATGTGAGTGTGATAAAACAGGAAACTCCGGACTGGAGTCCAGAGCATCTGCCCATCATTTTAGGTCCAGTACTAAACAGCAATTTAGTCCCTTCTACTACAGGTCTCTGGGCCTTGGTTTCCTGATGTGTGAAATAATCATCTCCTTGGCCAACTCTTCTAGCTCTAAAAGAAATGTGACTCATGCACATACATGTATCTTTTTCCAAGCTACCCATTCTCATTCTCTTTAATACCATTACTTTACAGCCAGTAAGCTTTATTTTTCTTTAGTTCTACAACAGAAGAAAAGAGTACAATCCAAACAAGGTGAGAAATGAAAGCGTTCCCAACAGCTGGTTTGTCAGAGATGATTCTCAAGGTGAGTAATGGAGAAGCCAGTACAATGTTTAAAAGGTGTTAGGTTTGGAGTATCTTAGGCTACTATTTTGTATTCCAATACATTCTTTGTAAGGACAAATAGTAAAATTCAAGGACAATAGGGACAAAAATGTAATTATCCACTAGTTATTCAAGGATTAAAGAGGCCAACTGAATACATTAGCACCTTTTTGCAGAAATGTTTTCTCTGGTCAATGAATTAACGGGCAAAGCATGATCTAGGAATTTTTCTAAATTATGTTTAAGTACTCCCTAATCAAACAAGCTTTCATTTCATAAACTGTACAGTACTCAGCAAATGAAAGAACTTAGTAAATATAAGACCAAGAAAATATTTAAAAGATGAAACATAAAACTGTGCAATTCTTAACATATTCTCTTCAGTGAAATGAAAACCCTTCATGGACTGTCATGAAAGTGGATTGTATGGACAGTCACTATTGGTAGCTAATCCTGGTGTGCCTTTCTCTGTTCCTAACTCATTTTCAAAAGGATTATGTAAATGTAAGATTTAGATTAAATTATGCATCTGACACAAGACTCCCAACTGCTAGAAACTCAAGCTGAGTATTTTTTAGTATTACTTTCTAGAGATACTAGCCTACTAACATTTCCTTCCCGGTTCGATTCTTAAAGCATATTAAAACTTCTATAAAACATGTAATTCATTTTGCATGACCTTGTTTTTTAAAAAAGCCACAGATTTGTTAACCTTATAAAATAAAACTCAACAGCAAATTATAATAGCACAGTCGAGCCTAAATGTTAAATTGGGAAGTAAACCAGCAGTATAGATGGAGAGGCTGCCACAAGAATTCCCAAAACAATTAGTAACTGACAAAATACAATCAAATATATACATACAATTTTATTTAGAGGATCACTGACAAAGTCCAAGTGGTGAGCCACCTTTCGGTTGGAACACCAAAGATGTCAAAACCTCTTCGTGACTCTGGATTCCTCAAGCCTTTCAAAGTTCAGGTCCAAACCGTGATATGCTTACTTACACTGCTTCTTAGCATCCTTTAAATGCAACACCTTCCACACAAAGTCTCTTCGCTTCAGCTACTCTGATGCCTAAAGAATCTTAGGAGCCCAAGGAGTAGCAGCGGGGTCTTCCTTGCGCCCGCCTCCGCATCCTTTCCTTAGCTACCTCGGATTAAAGCCCCGGAGGTGCCGGGTCCTTTCGCCATACATGCTCCCTATTGCCCTCCCTTATCTCGCACTGAATCTTTTCTCGTCGACCTTGAGGAACCCCCACATGCATGCCTCAGAGCCCCAAGTGACTTGGCCGGTGCCCTCTTGCCTGCACCCCATGCCCGGTCACCTCCCCCTATCCATCCGGACCACGAATGCCTTCCCACTAGCCTGAGACGACCCCTTCCCCTTAGGTGCCCTACCTTCCTCCGACCAGAAAAGCAACTCTCCAGAAACGCCTCGGAGCCTACTACGCACCAGCTCCCACTACGCGCGGCGCAGCGTGCAGAGGCTCTGGGCCGGGAGTCGCCGTCCTCTTCTCGGCCGGCCCATCCCGACCTGAGGCCGGCGCTGCTAGCGCGGGGTTTAGGGTGCGGGGAGGGGGGGCCGGAGGCGGACTGCGCCAGGCGCGGGCACCGGGCAAGAGGCGGCCGCTAACGGCGGGGCGGGGGCCGGCGGCCGAGCCGGTGACGGAGGACACACTATCTGGCCGCGGCGCAGGGGACGGCCTCATTCAGGGCACCTGCGGCCAGGCAGGACCGGCCCACCCAGCGCAGCCACCAAGAGGGCAAGCGTGCCCTCCCGCCGGTAAGTCCCGTCCCTTCCGACCGCCCAGCCAGCGCGGCCTCGCTTCCTCCAGACAGATGCTGGAGACCCCAGCTCCGCCAGATGCCCCAGCCAGGTCCCCACCCCGGGTCCTCCACAACCTCCCCCTCTTCACCCTTTCCCCTCCCCCCTCCCCCCAGCCCCCACCGGAATGAAAAATACCTCCCGGAGAGGGGGCGGGGGCGAGCAGGGGCACGCCTCTCTGAAGGGCAGCCTACCGTGACCAATAACAGGCGGGACTTTGGAGGGGCGGGATTCCCAGCGGCCAATACAGAGGCGTGGAGGTGAAGGCCAATACAGAAGCGGGGAGGCCGGGAGGGAGAAGAGCCGAGCCTAGGAGTCAGTGAGGTCCGGCCACTGGGGTGCGCGCTGTGCGTGGCTGCCATTTTGGAGTCGGGCAGCTACGACTGTGGCCGGGTCCAGCCGGGGGAAAGGGAGGAGCCAGTCAGGTGGGAGAGAGGCGGTCACGTGGGTTTGAGGGGCGGGGCAAAGCGGGCTGCGGCCCGAGGGGCGGGGGCGATGAAGGCGAGTCACAAGGGCTGAGGCGGGTCACGTGGCGCCCGGAGGGCTACCGGTGGGCTTTGGGTTGGAAGGTCAGTCTGAAGTAGGATTTCTGAGAACGCTTTGTCCATAGTTTCGGCTCCGAGAGGGTGAAGAAAGGAAAACGCTGAATGGAAGGAGTGAGTGCTGGGTAGGAAAATGTGAATGAGTCTCTCTAGCTGTCTCCAGCATGGAGCTACCCTGTCACTAAATCCCAAGATCCACGGAAACGGGCAGATAGTCTCGCAAATTCACTGGCCGCTTTTTACTGTTAAACATAGTCACGTTTCAACGCGTGAAAACGCTGAATGCGTTCTAGTGTCCCTTACTGGGCCGTGGAAAGGGCTGCTCCCCAAGGATACTAGTGATATATATAAGACTAAGTTCAAAGGTCACTTTGTAGGCCTGAATCTTGCATGTTCTCTTGGAGTGGTTTCTGTGACCTACATTCTTGAAGGTTTTTCTTTTCCCCTGGCCCCACTGTTGCGGACACCATACACCCTCAGATGGTCTTTGTCTTCAGTTAATTTTTCTGAGTCTGGTCTTTGTCGATTACTTGAAAGAGCCGCAGGATCTGATCCTCAGACTTCTCCTTCTGAGCCTCATAATCCTCTGATGCACACTAGATGATCTAACCGTTCTGACGTCTGGACAGCTTGGTCTGAATCTGCATATATAAGTGCCTTTTAGACAGTTTGGCTTGCCTACCAACAAAATGTAACCAAGTTGAAATTCCTGTACACTCTGGAGTCCAGGTAACCTATTTCTTCTATATTCCTACCTTATTTGATAGTATCTTATCACTTATCCAGTGCTGAAACTCGGAATAATCCTCTACCTACTTGATGCTCCAGTATCTCATCGGCATTTTACATCTGGAATGTTCCCCGGGGTCCCAGGGGATTTGGGTTCCAGTTTGGCCATATTGAGAGCTAGTGGAAACTTGAAGACCTGGGACATAGAGATTTTAGGTTGAGGGATAAGCCCTCAAAGGGGATTATGAAACCTAGTCTTTCCTTTTTCTCTCTTTTACTTGATATGAGCGAATTTACTCCACTTCACTGTCAACATGGTACTCCCTAACCTCAGCGAAGTCTTAAAAGGAATAGATCCACCCTGTCAAGAATTGGAACCTCCAAAATTGTAAACTAAACCTTTTCTCTTAATAAGGTAATTATAACAGAAAACTAACACAGGATCCCTTCTCACTTTATTGTGTGATTATATTTAGTCAGTGCCTTTCCTGTCCCCTGCCACTGCAGCTCTTCTGTCATTTATTCATTAGGCCAATATAGGGGCTGGGGATTTAGCTCAGCGGCATAAGCGCCTGCTTTGCAAGTACATGGTCGTGAATTCGATCCCCGGTACCGATAAAAAAAAAAGTTTTAAAAAATCCATTCATTAGGCCAATATTTGTTAAATACTTTAGTATGTGTCACGTGTTGTTTGATATACTTGGGATATAGTGGTGAACAAAATGAGAGTTGCTGAAGGGAGAGAAACAAATAGTCTATGAATCAATTAACAAATTAAGGCACAGCAGAGGTGATAAATGTTCATGAAGACAAAAACGGAAACCTGTCAGAACCTCCAAAGTTGCTGCCCAGCTCTTACAGTTCCCCTGCCCCTCTTTTCATTCGTCTTTTCAAAGAGGAAATTACTCCGAGCCTTTCATCTGGAGTTCGCCTTTCATTCCCTTTCATCTACTAAGACTTTCCTTTCTCTTTATACTTTTATACTGCAGCTGCCTTAAACGTCAATCCCACAACTAGATAATAAACTTTGAGGTCAGGGATCATATCTTACACATCTTTGTAGCCCTTCAGTGCCTTGGCTCAGAATAGGTGCTCACAAATGAGTGTTAAATGAATTGGTGAGTTCCTTGACACCTAAATCAGGTTACCAGAGAGGCATATCTGGCCCAAATTAGCATGGAAAAGCCAATGAACTAATCAGTCTGGTTGTAGTGGCAGTGTAGAGACATGGGAGAGGGTTGTGATTGAGATTACCTGTGTTGGTACCTGGCTTCCAGGCCTGACATTCCAGGATCCTGTGCCCCATGGGTGGCAGTAGTTGCTTCATAAATACTACTTTACTGTATAGTGCCAAATACATGTGGGCAATTGAAAAGTACTCTTTGTTTCAGATGATGAGCTTCAAACCCAGAAAACTCTGGGTCAACTGCCAGGATAGGCCCTGCAGGGGAAGGTTGCAGTTGCCACTTCACTTTGTACTTTCAGGCCTTTGGGTATTGCACCCCAACAGGGAGCAGAATGTTGCCAGTTCCATCATAGTCATTGTAATTAAATCCAAGTTCTGGCAAAGGACTGTATGTAATTATGAAGTATTATTATGGTTTTTATCATTATTAGGCACCCAGCTGCCCAGCCTATGAAACCACAGTAGTAAAATATTGAGAAGCCAAGCTCCTGTCCCAGCTGGCATGAATCAGTACCAGGTGTATTGGCAGATCCTTTTGCAGCTCCGCATTCATCAAGATGAAACCTTCTGTCCCTTCTTTTTGGCAAGATAAAATTTTTAGATGAATGGAAAGAGGAAATGTAAAGAAAGACCTTTGCCATTACCTCTGAATCAAATTCCTTTTTTTGTTCATCTCCCTAGAACAGTCTCTCCTCATCTACATATTTATTACATAAGTCTTCTTCAACTTTATCCTTGACCTGCTCACTTCCTAAATATAATTCTTCAGTGTCTCCTGAGGATATATGGTACTGAATTAGTGAAGGTGAGAGTACAAAATCCAAGAAAGACAGCTCTTACTTTCATGAAACAGACCAAATAATTCAGAAAGCAGAGTCAGGTTTGACAAGAAATCTGCTATTTACTGCCTATTCGGTACCATCTTTAGGATTTTTTACTTATGTTATTTCATTCCTCACTCCCCTAAGATAGGGGAGTTTTGTTATCCCCATTTTATTCAAGGTCACAAAGACTTCATATATGACAGAACTGAGATTCTACTATAAATACCTAAATTTAGTGAATGTATACTCATAGTGAATTTGTCCATGCTGTAACTGAGTATAAGTATCAGATTTCACCTTTTTCTGTCAGAAAATTTTTTTTGTATGAAATAGATTTTAAGCTGAGCACTGAAAGGACAATTCAGAAGTGATGCTGAAGGAATGGTGCCAGATGAGAAAGCCAAATTGGCCGTAAGCCTAAAATCAATAAGATTTCTTGTTTGAAGATGAGTCATGTTATACTCTCCAAGTACATTTATTGTCTTAGCTACTCCAAGTGGGGAAGTCAACCCATGTGGTCCTGGGTTGTGTGGAATGGGCCAGAGGCAGAGGCAGGTGTTTTAAGGAGAGAATATATCTTTGAATGCAGAACTCTCCAAATTGAAACACTGTAATGAAACATCCCTGTCACACACACACCCCCAAAGGCTCCTGTGCCCCTTCACAGTAGAAATTTTAATTTAATTTGGGATTTTTGTTTCTTTGCTGATGAGGATTAAACCCAGGGCCCCACGCTTGCTAGATAAGTGCTCTACCATGCTGTCAACTTGTATTTAGATGGTGTCAAAATTTAGATCTTTAGCTCGACCTTGCTTTCACAGTCTTAGCTATATCTGCTTCATGTGTAACTTAGGTGTTATAGAAGGACACCACAAACCACTCAGGACTCATGACACCTGCTTTCAGTTAACTGCAAGAAAAGTCTCACCTCCTATCTACCATTTCCTCCTCAGACAGGTTTGCTATACTCTCCAGCTTGGTTGAGGCAATCACAATCTACCAAGACATACTTGAGAAGTATTTTAGAGAATTTTTAAAAATCTTCTCTTGTTTCCACTTCACAGTATCAGTGATTCTAATGCATACAACCATTTCTGCTATCCTCCAGACACTTCTCTTACTTGCCTAATTAAAACACATGCTCCTCTTTTATCCTGTGCTCCAGTTTATCCTCCAACCTACCACTGTAATTTTTTTTTTTTTTTTGAAAACCCAGATTTGTCTTGACTGTTTTACTGCCCTGCTTTCCTGGACTGCTCAGCTGCAGGCAAAGTGGCCCTGAAGATCTTTTACAGAGTTCCACTGGTCTCCCCTTCTAGACTCCTGGGCTCCCTAAAGAGAGACCTCTAAACTTTTTTTTTTTTTTTTTTTTTTGGTATTGAGGATCAAACTCATGACCTTGTACTTACCAGGCAAGCACTTGAGTCGCTGAGCTAAATCCCTAGCCCCTCTAAACATTTTTATCTTTGCCTGCACTATGCCTCCTGTTCCACCACCTAAAAACTCTTTATTTCTCACAGCCCCATTTAAATAAATTTTCCTTGGTGAAGTCTTTCCAGACCTCTACCATAAAAAGTCTTTTTCTCTTTAGTGCTTAACTTCCCCCAACATGTTGCGTGTACATTTATCACACTGAGCAGATGGGATGGTGAAGGAGAACAGGACAGGTGACTCAGACTTCAATGCAAATGGAATATTTCATTGGTCATTCACTGTGCGATCTAATGCAAGTCACATAATTCCTCTGAGCTTTTTAGAGAATTGCAGTTTTAAAAACAACTATACAGCAAGTCGCTGATTTACAAACATTCAAGTTGGAAACTTTCACAGATACAAATAAATCTCAAATTACAAACATTTGTAAATTCAAACAAACTGTGGAAATAGTTCACATGTCTGTTGGACATCACAGCTGTGCTTCTGTGTGCTTACTGTACAGTGAGATATTGTGTATTGTACAGTATAGTCAGGGATTTAACTGTGTGTGTGTGTTTGGTTTTTTTTTTGTTTGTTTGTTTTACTTTGTATATTTGTGTCAAAGGTGTGAATGACTCACTTTGGTGGGCCTGTGAATGAATGTAGCTTATAAAACACTTTCCCAGAATGGAACTCATTCATAAGTTGGGGACTTACTATAATTACTGATGGATTTTGAGCACCTGTATGGAAAACCAACATCTGGTTGTGTTCTTACCCCTCCTCCTGACGTTGCACCTGTGCCTGCCTGCCACAGCTTGCTTATGAGGGAAGTTACTGCCTTTTGTAGAATCATATTCTCCCAGTTATTCCCACTTAGCCTACTTTCTATAATGTTTCTTCAAAAGCCAGTCATGAATGTATTCGTTTCTTTTTATAATCTTTTATTGCCTTTAAAATTTAGTACTCATATAAAAAGGTCTCTGAAGAAACAAAATAAACTTTTTGGTTTGTTTTTGAGGTAAGAGTTTGCCTATGTAGTTCAGGGTAGCCTCAAACTCACTGTATAGCCCAGGCTAGCCTCGAACTTGCAATGGTTCTCCTGCTTCAGCCCCCTAAGTGCTGGGATTACAAACATACACCATCACACCAGGCAAAAATGTATCTTACCCATGATTAGTTTTCCAATCCCTTACCTACTTGAGAGTCACTTTCTAGGACTATCATAGGCCCAGCCCTATTCTAGATATTTGAGCATACAAATATGAATAAGAGACTTTATCTTACTCAATTATAGTGGGAATAGTAAACACAAACAGAGATTCTAATCTAGTTAGTTAAAAGTCACTCTGAATAACATAAAACAGTAATTTAATTGTGGTCAGGGTAAGCCTTGCCGAGGAAGTAGTATTTGAGCACTGATGATTAAAAGATGCTGAAACACAAAACTGAAGTGGAAGAGTGTCCCAGGCAGAAGCAAGATCATTGATGAAGGCCTTGATATAGGAACAGGAACTGAAAGAGGGCCCAAGGGGTATGGAGAAAGCCAGGGCTGATGGTAGGCTTGAAATCAA